TTCATCTATGTTACCTTTAAAATTATTATTAAAATTGTGTTTACGTGTTAATAAATATTTGAAGGCCTTCTCTAGTAGCTAATATTATATAATAACTTTATATTAGGAAATACAGAGGTGCCAGTAAGGAATAAGTATAAGTGAGACGCCTACCAAACATTGGTTTCATATACATATGAAAGATTCATTTATCTCACCTGGTTGAGGTAAACGTTATCTCCGGTGTCGTCAGGGTAAGGATAGAGACCAGACTGGTGGTGGGTGTAGGTCTCCCAGGCACCGTGCAGGTCGTACGCCATCAGGTTGACAATGTCTATGTTCTCAGCCATGGCGGGGATGTCGTAGGCTGGGTCGATGGTCAGCTTTCCTGCTGACACAGCAGCCGTCAGGATCATTCCTTCGGCGTGGAGTGCCGTCTTCAGCTCTGACAGAAGGCTGATGAAGTTCACCTATGGACGAGACACCTAGCAAGTGAATATTACCTCCTCGCCATGAAGAAATTTCTGTGTTAGAAATACCATGAGATCTTTTACTGTTTAACAATGTTTGTTATGAAGGGCACTTCCTGGTTGACGAGATTATTGTAGTTAATAAAATTTCCAAAAATTTGTTATAAGGAGACAGTCTTACTTAAAAAAGGCCCTGATCCATTTACGGCTTAACAATGTTCTGTGATGGGCCTCTCTCGGCCCCAATTCCCCTTAAGTAAAGCTTTATGGTGTAAAATATATTTTTTAACTCCTTAAACCAAAATAGTCAACGAATTATTACATTTAGTGTTATTATAAGAAAGGACTCAGTAACCCACCTTGTCCTCTGGTTTTCCTCCACGCTGGGTCGGGTACTCCCAGTCCATGTCCAGACCATCGAAGTTGTGAGTCTTCAGCATCTCAACGGAGGAGTCAACGAAGATCTTCCTAGTACCTTCGTCCGCAGCCATCTGGGTGAAGAATTAATGATAGTACACTCTGATGTGTTAACTGTCGAGTATATGACAATCATCGGTATTTACTTGCCGCTTGCAAGTTATGTAGCGTTAAGATGGAATAAATTAGGTAATGATATTTTTAGCACACAACAGTATGAGATTCTTAGTATCACTAATATAAGATGGAATTAGAAGACACTAACATCAGAATACTTGGTGGATCCCTCGTTCCAGCCTCCCACGGCCAGGATGGTGACCAGTTCTGTGTTCTTCTGCTTGAGCGCAGTGAACCTGTCGTAGGCGCACTTGCCGTAGTTCTCACACAGTTCGTTGTACGGGTCCAGCACCTACACAACACAAATTGTTCTTAACACACGAGGTCTCGGTTCCTTGAACAGAATTTCCAGAAGAACATAACACTGAAGAACATAACACTGGAGAACACTTTGTATACTTTTTCTGCACGTATTATAAAATTTTAAAAGTATCTGGTCTTAACATTTTTAAGAAAAATCTCATAAATAAGGAAAAGGAAACGAGTTTTCACAGTGTCGGGTAAGTAAACATTTTGTCTTACTGGACGGAGGATCGAACTTCCACCAATTTTTATTTTCAATGACCAGCAAATGTTTTGTACTTTATATCAAGGTCTGATGTATAAATGATAGTCATGTACAAACTAATTTCTTGTTGTAAATACCTTTGTAAATTGCCCACGCAAGCACTCCAAGCTAGTAACTGTAAATACATCTTTTACGTCTGTCTCTCACCCTGATTTGGTTGTCCCAGCCGAGTCCAGCGAAGCCGAAGATGAGATGGGTGCAGATGAACGGGTCGATGTTCTCCACGTCAAACTTGCCGTTGTCGGGCCTGTAGACGGCCCAGGAGCCGTAGTAGCACACCATTACCCCCTCTGTGGGAAACCACAACACCCTAGTTATAATATAATAATATATAATACAATCTTTATTTCTACAAGTACATATTTACAAGTACATGTTTACAAGTACATGTACAAGGTATACAGTACTAGCTGACATCAATGACATACTACTATATAGAAAGCCGCTTGTTATGCTGAGCATTTCGGGCAAATTAGGTCAATTTTGTCCCAGGATGCGACCCACATCAGTCGACTAGCTCCCAGGTACCTATTTTACTGATGGATGAGCATAGACAACCGGTGTACGGAAACACGTCCAATGTTTCCACTCCTTCGCCGGGAATCGAACCCGGACCGTCACCGTGTGAAGCGAGAGCTTTTGCCACCAGACCACGGGGCACCATTATTACACATAATAGCTAAGCCCAGAAACTTAAACATAAGACACCAGAGAAAGGTGTCTTATGCATAGCTAAAATATCATAACTAAGGGGGGCAAGGTACGGTGTAGAGGCGCGTGTTAAACCAGTGCCTCACCTGCGAGAGAGAGGATGATGGCGAGGAGAGAGAGTGGTAGCAACAGTCTCATGTTGTGCCTTCACGTGAAGCTCACAGCTGGCCACTGATGCCACGGCTCTGCTCCGCCTGCCCTTATATACCCGTAAGATGACCTAGCAACGTGGAGGTGCTGCCTGTGACACATCCCGTCCCATGGCTTCCAGGACACGTGTGTTGGACATTATTTTTATCACAGGAGTAGCACTGATAGCGTCGTGCTTTTGATGGAGATGATTTAGAGTCCTCTCAAGGACGAAAACAATAAAAAGTTTTTTTAATTTGAGGTTCGTGAGAGCGGAAAGGTTGGCTCACCCAAGTTTTTCTTTAAACCGAGTTAACAGATTTTACATAAACTGCAGATTGTTTCTTTGGTAAATTATAATAATATTGCGAAGCCAGGTGCATCAGGGACGAGGCTGGACGTATGGGCAAGTCTCCTAATTACTGCCGCTCCTGTTCACCTAACAGTGTCGCCTTCTGCGGTAGGAGCTAATGGGAACATGCAACACTGTAATGAACTTTCCTGGGCTATAGTTTCCTCTCAAAAGTGTTGGTTATTTAGAATTCATTTAGAATGCATTTAGAATGCATTTAGAATGTATTTATGTAATATTCAGAATGCATGTATGCTCATTTGTACGATCAAATAAGTCTGCATCTTGGATGGCTGGGTACCATTGAACCAGCCGGGTACCACTGGGTCAGCCGGGTACCACTGGGCCAGCCAGGTACCACTGGGCCAGCCGGGTACCACTGAACCAGCCGAGGTACCACTGGACCAGCCGGGTACCACTGGACCTGCCGGGTACCACTGGACCAGCCTTAAGCTTTCCAATTCATCCTAATTATGATTATTATTATTATAGGTCAAGCTAAAAATGTTATCACTTGACCGAGAAAGATGCGTGAGTAATGTCACGATGGATGTTTATGTTAATTTACTATAAGATAGCGATTTTTAGAATAGGCAGAAATAAGAACATAAAAATACACTAGGGGCTGATATCAGTCACCAGACTCTTGGACCCAGGGACTGGTGCACCATTTATTTTTAAAAATATATTTTATATATATTAGAAATGGTGGGGGCACTGATGTTAGTACAGGCACTATAGTGATGATACATGACCAGTAGAAACTGGTGGTGGCACTGATGTTAGTACAGGCACTATAGTGATGATACATCACCAGTAGGAACTGGTGGTGGCACTGATGTTAGTACAGGTGTTGCAGATAATGGGAAGTCAGAAAAACGCACCAGTAGGGAACGCAGCCACAAAAAATCCTGGCAAACAGAAATCAAATCTATGCAAATTCTATGCCTTGGGTATCTGTAGGCAAGGAATATCTGGAAAAACAGATAGATGTGCAATTTTGACCATTCCCAAAATTGCCGAGCCCACATGACCAAAGGACAATGCAACTTTTCTCCCTGTAAAAAATTTCACCCTGAAATGTGACACTCTTCAGTCCATGGAACACAATGCTATAGCACACACTGTCAGGCACATTATTTAAAGGGGACAAGAAGATGCTGATCACTCAGACTATGGGAAACAAACCAGGGTAGCTACAATCACTCCAGAGACAAACTTTTTTAGTGCTAAAAAGAAAAAAAATACTGGCAAGAAATGACAGAAATATTACACCGTCTCGGATCACTACTGGAGTGGAGGCACAGTCAGTGGCCTCCACTCCAGGACAACAGATATTAGTGCCAGCGAACAAAGCCACCCACATACCATCAGGACGACATTTATTTTTGCAAATATACAGGGTCTAAAGCCATCAACAAACAACAAAATACCTTTCATTAGTGAACTGCTCACAAAGTCAAATGCAATGTTTGCGGCTTTCACAGAGACCCACATAAAGGATCATTCTGACAATGATACATGGTTCCCAGGCAACAAGGAGGGGTTGGCCTGTATGTCAGAGTCGCTCATTTGCTTGGAACTACTAAACACCTCAAATGATGTAGTTGAAGTTTTGGTAGTAAAGACTGACAAGTAAAACCTTGTCATTGTGGTTGTATACAAGCCTCCTGATGTATTTTCCCAACAATTCCAGGAACAGCTTTTGAAAATTGACCACTGTTTGAAAAATCTCCCAACTCCTGCCCCGAACATCTTGCTACTAGGTGACTTTAACTTAAGACACCTAAAATGGTGGAGTGCAGTTAATAATGTTTTAACAGAGATAACCCCAGGAGCTCAGATGAAAATTCACACACACACATGAACTATTAAATCCCTGCAACAAATTCACCTTAAGTCAGCAAATAGTGGAAAATACACTTGACCTCATCTTCACTAATAATGATGATGATACGAAATATATGATCAGAGAGAATACACTCAGATCATAATATACAGAGGTACAGACATATATGTGCAGGGCTCCTGACCAGCATAAGGTGAACAGTTATGAAAAGGGGCCTTTACCAATTTTAACTTAATAAAATATACAGTGGGATCAAATCAACCATATCCTAAATCAAACAATATGGGAAGATATCCTAAACAATACGGATCCCAACCTTTGCCTACAAAGAATTAACTCTGTGGCGCTTCAGGTATGCTCAAGGCCACACACACAAGAAAAAAAGAGAAGATGTCAACTAGAAAGAGAGAGACGCTCCCTATACAGGCGAAGGTGAAGAATCACAGAAGTGCTGAAAGGGGCCAGTATATCTGAAATACGAAAGGAGGCACTGGTCAGAGAAATAGCAAATACCGAACTTAAATCTAGGTCAAAAACATCCAGTGTTAGACCCCTGCTTAGACGAGATGGGACTTACACAGATGACAGCAAAGAAATGAGTGAGATACTGTAGTCCCAGTATGACCAGCTTTTAATGGTTAATTCTTTCTAGGCTGGAATATTGCTGTACACTAGCGGCCACTTTCAAGGCAGGAGAAATTGCTGACCTGGAGAATATACAGAGAACTTTCACGGCACGTATAAATACAATAAAGCCCCTAAATTACTGGGAATGGTTGAAGTCCCTTGATTTGTATTCCCTGGAACGCAGGCGAGAAAGATACATGATAATAGACATTTGGAAAATCCTGGAGATTAGTTCCAAATCGGCACACAAAAATCACTCCCTACGAAAGCATAAGACTCGACAGGTGATGCAACATTTCCCCTATCAAAAGCAGGGGCGCCACGAGTACGCTAAGAGACAACACAGTAAGCGTCTGGAGCCCAAGACTATTCACCTGCCTCCCAGCATACATAAGGGGGATTACCAATAGACACCTGGTTGTCTTCAAGAAGACACTGGACAGGCACGTAAAGTCAGAGCCTGATCAACCGGGCTGTAGTTCGTACGTCAGTTCACATGCGGCTAGCAGTAACAGCCTGGTTGATCAGGCTCTGATCTGCCACAAGGCCTGGTCACGGACCGGGCCACGGGGGCACTGACCCCGAGATTCCCTCCAGGTAATTTTATATAATATATATAATATATATATATTTATTATTATTATTATAAATATTAGCCGGTATTCTCCCGGCCCGGGCCTTTTCCAAGTGGTGGCCCGGCCTTGGCTCCCTCTTTAGGGAGTGTCTGAGACCTAAGTCTCCTATGGGAGGAGGCACAAGTACCCTCCTCATCTTTGGGACCAACTGTCCCCAGGCCTAGCCACAAGCTAGGCCTCTCTGGTCTGCCATCCCCGCCACAAGGGGGATAATGGGAATGACAGTCTTATGAGCTAAAGGCTCGGGCTCAGGCACCAACCTACCCTAGAAGGGTTGGGCAGGGTTTATTGATTGAATATATATAATATATATATATATATATTATATATATACATATTATATTTTATATATATATATATATATATATATATATATATATATATATATATATTGTCTTCTTCTCTTTTTTAGTAATTGTATACAGGAAAAGGGGGGTTACTAGCCCGTTGCTCCCGGCATTTTAGTGCCTCATACGACACGCATGGCTTCGGAGGAAAGATTTTTTTTCCACTTCCCCATGGACAATAGAAGAAATAAAAAAGAACAAGAGCTATTTAGAAAAAGGAGAAAAACCTAGATGTATGTATATATATATATGCATGTGCGTGTCTGTGAAGTGTGACCAAAGTGTAAGTTGGAGTAGCAAGATATCTCTGTTATCTTAGCGTGTTTATGAGACAGAAAAAGAAAACCAGCAATCCTACCATCATGCAAAACAGTTACAGGTTTTTGTTTCACAGTCATCTGGCAGGACGGTAGTACTTCCCTGGGTGGTTGCTGTCTACCAACCTAATGTTGCAGTTTAAAAACTGTAGTGTAAAGCACCCTTTTGGCAAGACAGTGATGGAGTGAATGATGGTGAAAGTTTTTCTTTTTCGGGCCACCCTGCCTTGGTGGGAATCGGCCAGTGTGGTAATAACATAATAACAAATATATATTGTCGTGCCGAATAGGCATAACTTGCGATTTTGGCTTAAATAGCAACGCTCATCTTGTCATATAGGACAAGTGAAAATTTGTGTATGCAATAATTTCGCCAAAATCATTCTGAACCTAACGAAAAAAATATATTTCACTGTGTTTGTTTAATATTAAATTATTGTAAACAAATCTAAAATATATTTAGTTGGGATAGGCTAAAATAAATTGTTCTTGTTATAATAAGGTTAGGTAATTTTCTAAGGTTCTTTTGGTGCAAAATTAAAAAAATTTTACATTAACATTAATGAAAAAAATATATCTTTAAAACGTTATAAAAGAAAATTTTTGAAAGGACTTAATTTTAAATGAGTTATTGCTAATTGAAACCCGTTTACATATTCGCACGACATACATACAAATAATAAAATATTAAAATATATATTATATATATAATATATAATATAATATATATAATTTTTATAATATATATATTATATGTTTTTAACATTTTTTCAACATAAATATTTTTTTTAGTTTCTTACAGGTACATGTCTGTTAGTGTATATATATACATTGAGGGGTATTTCGCTGAGTGAAAGTATTGCTTGAGATGTATATATCTCTCGGTATAAATGCTTTGTGTCATAACTATCAATCGGTACATATTTGTTATTGTCTGCTAACGGTGAGGTATATATCAGTGTATATCAGAGTATATACAGCA